AACTTGCTCTATCCATTAAAGGATAAGAATACGCAGACCGTGGCAGAATTATGTTGCCAAGTCTTTGCTGACCATGGGTGGCCAGGTATTGTGTGCACTGATAACGGTAGTGAGTTCTGCGATGACGTAATGGAATCGCTAGTACTCGTATCAGGCATATGCCATAAGAGAGGTGTGCCATATAAGCCGCAAACGCAAGGCGCGAATGAAACGCGCCATAGAAGACTTAAGTTCTTCTTGCGTACTGCATTAACGGATGATGCAGATGATTGGCCGTATCACCTTAAGTGGGTACAAAGTTACCCTGTGAGTTTTGGGCTTAGGTCCAGTAGGTCCGTGGTCGTCGACTGGACGTTTCTTACGCTTCAGTGTCTTAATCACATATGAAGGATGAGCATTAAAGCTCGGGATAAATGCTTATATATATATATAACGAATGTATATAACACCTCCGGAGTATTAAGTAAGAACTCGTCCTTTTCACAAGGTATGAGGCGAGTGTCAACGGCAGATTCGAACTGTTGACACGTGTTAATCTACTTCAATTACTGTTATATTTCATATCAATAATATAAATGTACCAGTAAGCAACGACTACAAAGTGCAAGTGACGCACTAGATTACGGGTGCTACCGAAGTATCAAAAAAGAAACAACCAAAAATACGAGATGCTAAATCTTGCGTGTTGTGTATTATTCGTGTTGTAATTATGGACTGAAATAATTAATTAGAGCACTTTCGGACTGTGTACTCAAGATACACATTCTATTGGTATAGAATGATAACGACATTTGTCTGCAGGTCTTAACACCACACTTGTACAACGGCCTCTTATCTCGTGTTTCAGACCTTTCTGAAAACACACCAACTTCAGTTTTTTCTTTAGCATTAACGCCTGTTACCATCGGCGAGTTCGAATTCGTGCTTAGGCATCTGTGTTCGTGATGATGGCTGAGTCCATGAAATCTAACTTGGTGGATTACCTAACAACAACCCAATATTGAGTTGTTTTCATTGTAGTGAAGGAACAACGGCATACTTGTCGTGAACGATCTTCATCGTTACCCGATTTCACTGGTCGACCAACCCTTCTAATGTTTGGTTGTGGATGGTTGCGAATGTAGATGTATCAACCGTTGTGTTAGGTATCATGAATGAATTTTTTAAATGACCTTTTGACAAAAAAAAATCCTTCTGTCTTGTCAACTTTAATGATCGTGTTTCCAAATGAATAGATACGGGCACCAACTAGCATCTCATAACATGTTGATTTTTGGACTCATCACATCCGTGACTTACAACAACAAGGTATCATCGCCACGGAATACATCGCTTCCAGTGACAACGTGGCTGATGTTCTTACAAATCTAAACATACCAGTGAGATGCTGTCCTTCTTTCAAAATCCTCCTTCTGTGACAACTGAACACAATCCAGGGGAGAACGCATGACTGTAAATTTTATTCTCTTGTTTGGTCACCACAGACAAATTTCAGGGTAGTACCAGCGCATAGTAAAGATAATTTTTTTCCAGTATGAGTTTCAGGTGACGAATGGTCATATCGACTTGACAAGTCCTTATATAGGGATAATATTGTACCTTGTATAGAAGTAAAAAAATACTGTTCTCGAATTGTTAGCCTTAATTCTGTGACATCACAATTTTGAGAATCACACGAATTATGAGTGCTACGTCTGCTAATTACGATGCATATTTTTGACATAATATATTATTGCTGGTGCAGATTTGATGTACACGATTCTATTTGGCGGTATTGTACGGTTATAAAAGATATATATGTGCGTTGTTGTATAATCGCAAAGGCACCACTCAGTCGCAAGGAATCATGAAGTGAGAAGAATACACCCGCCGAAATGCTCAAAAAGACGTTGTGCGCATACAGAGGCCTCTGTTTTCGTGAACTAGTGTAAGGGCTTCGAGAAACAGCCTTGGACATTGGTAGAGATGCACAACTTTATATGGTTCTGCACTTGGAGTAGGGATTTAAAAAAAAGAGTATGATAAGGAGTGAAAGGAGAACATAGGGATAATGATATTTATTTCAATTTGGGTAAATTATTATGTCTACACGCACATCAGGCTTCATATTCGTTGGAGAGGTTCTAAGAAGATTGGAGGGAAGTTAAGATGTGGAACTGCCGCGAGAAGCTAGTACATAGCACCGAAAATCGGCTGCATATGATCATGTGATGCATAGATACAGAGTGTAAAATATTTAGTTGTCTAAAAGTAGTAACTAATGCGACAGAATTCTCCCATATTCTTTTTACATCATCAGGCAGCGACTAAGAGAGACTAAGTATTGATACACTTAGCGGGTTACGACCAAAGTATTCAAATATCATTCAATTCATCATCAATGGAAAAAGGCAGTAATTTTTATTTAAAGTGAAAAGAAACAGGCGGGTGAGTCATCGTTACGACAATCGACTTAATCTGAGAAAAGGGGTTTTGTGAGGCATGCACAATCTAAACCAGCAGGAGATTTTCTTTAATCCACACAATTTCGCCGCCATAAACCATCAAGCGCATGGTCTCATAGTTAAATCTAACAAACGTAGTTCTGCGACGGTGATTCGCCGAGTTCTCGAAGCTTATTACTTTATAACACGAGATTGAAAATGACGGATCTGGAGGTGCTTTAAAATCGGAAAGGAAACAAGCTGTGCCGGATGTCGTCACCACACTAAAAAGGTATATCGCAATGAAAAGTCTGTGGGTTTGTATGTTCGAATTCCGTAAGAGGTGTAACTTTCGAGGAAATAGAATATCGGTTCGAAAAGGCTCCTTAAACACGACACAATATTTGAGACCAGCGTCTCTAAGCCGGCTACAATCTCTCGTGAGTCACAGTATGCTGGATAACGTCAGTTATACTGCACTGACATGCCGATTGAATACTAGTGCCTAAACGAGGCACACCGATATTACACCAGCATATCTAAGCCTGCCCAATTATTTTCAGTGTGTCCTGTGTACACACACCTATCATGCATGAGTGACGACGGAGAACGACAAACCTGAGTATAGTGTATATAAACTGGACCGTGATATCAGCGGTAGTCAGTATTCTGGATTCAAGCCATGTACACAGGAATGAATCTTGAATCGACACGTAACTTCGGAGCTTCGCAACTATCCCACAGTCGAAGACCATAAACAATGCTAAACATGCTTGACATTGCGAGGTCTTGTAAACGGTGCTTATCGTGATGTCTAAAATAAAGAATCTGCGTTCGCAATATAAACCATCACACTAAAATCCAATATATAAAAAGCTGATACAAGGTGAGCGCTCCACAATCTTTGGTATATCATCTGCATGTGTATGCACTTTAATACATTATATTCCTATTTAACTTGTGGTGATTAAAATTACATTCCACCGTACGCGGGGCCACCACCACTCTCGGGCACTACCCAATTGATATTCTGTGAAGGATCTTTGATGTCGCATGTCTGATGGAGAGAGTATGTGGAGTAGGAGTGAAGTTAGTTCCGCCCATACGCAGGATTGTGAACTCCAATAGTCGATCACAAAAAGTCACAGTATATGGTCTTTCACTTCTTAGTCTGAACACGAGAGCGATGGGAAGTGCTACAAAGCGGCTAAACAACAATGCGTTATAAATTGGAGGACGGCGTTCGAAACTTACTTTGCAGTGTACGCAATTCTGGGCGTTGATTTGAAGCTTCTTTCCTCCATCAGCGGTTTCAATGAATTCGTACACGCCAGCAGGACAATACCTCTGCTCAGGTCCATCGTAAACTGCAAGATTGACATCTACGGGCACGGAATCATCCTGAAATTTGAAGAAAGAAAAAAAGGCAAAGATTTAGGCTGAGTCATATATCCTGAGGCCGTCTACTGTATGTGAACATAGATTTCATGTGCTCATATGACTCATACTATTTAGATTAACATGTATATAAATACACTTACAAAGCACATAATCGAACGGGTGTCGAACACAAAAACTAACCAGGAGGAATAAACAGACTACAGTAGAATAAAATCTATGACTAGTTGAATATTCGCCCTCAGAAACTAATTAAACCATGCATGGACTCCAGATGCGATGATAGATTACTTGAGACACTTGTCAAAAGCATCTGTGCACCTTCATGCGTATCGCGCACTCTGCCAAACTTAAAAAAAAACAATCAAAACTGGCCTGAATTCGAACATAGCGAGATTGTATTCAAGCCATATACATGCAGATAAAGCATCGCATCCTAACAATATAAAAGGGATGATCAAAAGCTGTCCGTATAGATATAGCACACTTCCTATAGACACATAAATGCCACGTCTGCTATGATCAAAACCATGGACATCCAAATGCAAACAAAAGCATATGGCTATAAACCACACGAATTATGGTTTAGTGCTTTTCATATACCTACGACCTACTAGGCGATACATATCACAAAATCACCCATTGGTCATTTATCGCATCGGTAACACATTCCTAAACTGATCGCACGCACATATATTTAATATATAAAGGTACTAGACAGCTCAACAACAAAAAACTGAATACTTATGACTGCTTGACCCGAAATTATACAAAACAGATAACACACTTAAACTTGAATCATTGATAGATCAATAATGATGTGGTCCAATTAAGTTCTACAATCAGAGAAAACGAAGCATTAAAAATAAAGGGAGAAAAAGCGGCACACCTTGAGAGTAAGATGAGCAGGTTGGTTGTGATCGTGGTTGGTGCCACTGAGAGCCACACTGGACAGTAGATCGAAACTGATTTTGTTATCTGGCTTGGGGTATTCGATGGGCTGTAGGTAGATTATTCCAGATTCAGTTCAGGCATACATAAGTAAACGGACTACAAAGTGTTTGAATGTTTCCGTATTGTTTGAATGGATCATGATGCCAACAAGCAGCACGTCTCAACTGATCGCAAGTTCACACACGGGTTGATCCGCATAAAGAACACAAACGCGAACCTGACAACTTTCAGATGTGAAACGAGATATAAGAGATCGAAATTTTGCACAAGCAATTTGAAATGCTCTCTTGCGGTAGCCACTGATCAACGCTGCAACATTTGAACTACGCATCAACTCCAATGTTGTCTCGTTACACGATAACGTTAAAAAAACCCACCATCCATTATCTTCATGACAAACATACCTTGCATTCGGCAGCGGGCTTGAGCTGTGCGTGATCACCGCCCGAGTGGTGCTTTAATGTCCAGGGCTCCTTGCCGCGGAATAGGTAGTGGATAAGACCGGTGTAAGCCACACCTCCGTACAAACCCAATGCGGTGTTAAAAGCGGGACGAATATTGCGCACAGCCTTAAGTTCCTCCATAATACTTGAGTTGTGCAGACGCTCTTCGTACGAATCCAACTGGATGGCCCCAGAGTCTAAGTGGCAGTCTGTTCCGTTGGCGATGGCTTCAAAAGCTGCTTCTCCCGCAATCATACCTGCAAGGTTCACAATTGGCCGACAAAGGACATGAATTGCGATGTGAACATGGACATACGAACATCTATTATGGATAATATTACAAACAGAGCTCGTGGGCAAATCAAAGATTCTTTACATCATCTTAAATATCCCAACCGTCCTTTCACGACACTCACCAATATGCCTACTTGCAATCTACCGCGGTGACCTTATAGGTACCCAATGCGACTACAACATACCACTCTTCATAGCTGTGTGTGTGCCCTTGATCTTGGCCACATTAAGGAACCCAGCATCACAACCAATCAAAGCTCCTCCAGGGAACACGACCTTAGGAACCGCTTGGTATCCTCCCTCATTCAGCGCACGCGCTCCGTATGAGATGCGTGTGCCGCCCACCAATTGCTTAGCGATGTGTGGGTGCGTCTTCCAGCGTTGGAACTCACGGAACGGACTCAAGTATGGGTTGGAGTAATCCAGTCCAATGACGAATCTGGTATTTAAGTATCGTAGATATACCGGGAAAACGGATTTGTGCCTTATGGTACACATATTGCAGATGTATTGTATTTGTAACCAATAAAAGTGTTGCGCTCATGTTGCATGTAAATAATGATGATGTTTTGTAATCCCTTGAGAACAAACAAGAGCAGGTCACCAGTGATATGGGAGGGGTACTCGTACTCATAAAAACACACACACTCAGAATGGATATACATACCTATATGTACATACACACACGTAACGACATACAACAGACATACCCCATAGCAACAAGAGGTCCTTCGTCCAGGTGATACAAGAAGGAGCCTCCATACGTATTCCTATCCATCGGCCATCCAATGGTGTGCTCGACACGTCCAGGCTTGTGTAGCGCAGGGTCAATCTCCCACAATTCTTTGATACCAATTCCGTATGACTGATTGGCACAGTTTTCCCTGAGATTAAAGTTCTCGTACAACTCCTTACCTAGGTGACCGTGACAACCCTCGCCAAATAATGTGACCTTGGCGTGCAACTCCATGCCTCGCTCAAAGGCGTCCTTGGGGCTACCGTCCTGTGAACAAAGCAAGAAACACTTTTGTATTAAACACATGACACAGCTCGCAATGTCCAGGAATCGTTCAATTAACGGCTAGTAAAGATCCCGCTTTCAATAATAACCGAGGTAATGCACACCACGTTACAGCTTCACTTGCGGTTGTATTCTATGTAAGCCATGACTGTATCAACATGGCTTTCCTTACGAGTCTCGGATACAATTTGGTTTCAAGCCTCAAATCTGACAAGACTTGCATAAATTGCTAGCAATGGAATACCCGAAAGTAAACGATGATTGTAATAGATATAAATATTATATTTCAAATTTTTCATGTTGAGCCAGCGTTGAATGAATCAACCGGACTTTAAAGCGCGCACACCAACCAAAAAGAACAAATCTGAGCCACATAAGCACAGTGTGCAAATAGAAAAAAACTGATCCTTTCGAATAATGACACGAGATCGCTCGTAGATGGAAACGGCATGCATTTCGGAATCACTCTCTCGATGTGCAGGTACAAACATACTTAAGTAAAAAATAACGTTGTCCGCATCTACCTGATATATATATATATATATATAATGCGCAATGAATACATACTATAGAGTATGATCAAACATACACATAAATATATGCAATTAATACACAGATAAATACCCACACCCACAGCTACACATAGATATCATACTCTTCGAGATTGTATCTAGAATATTAAAACCATACAGAAATGTTACCAAAACACTTTCTATGCGTAAAACTCAAAACAATACCTTAGCAATACCCATATCAGTGGTGGCGACACCCTTAACACTGCCGTCGTCGTGGTACAGGACTTCTGCCGCGGCCGTCCCGGAATATATCTCTACGCCCAATTCCTCGGCCTGCTGGCCCAACCAGTTGACAAAGTTACCCAGGCGTACAATATAGTTGCCGTGGTTGTGTATAGGGAATCCAGGCAGAATATCGTGGGGCAGGTGTAAACTGGACTTTTCGGTCAAGAATGTCATCAAATCTTCCTTGACAGGTGTGTGCAGAGGTGCTCCAAGCTCCTCCCAATCAGGGAACAGCTCATTCAGAGCGGTGGGTTCTAGTACGGCACCCGATAACGTGTGCATGCCCAACTCTACGGCCTTCTCCACGACCACAACCCGTACATCCTGTTCTTTTTCTAGGCACATCTGCTTCACTCGTATGGCAGCGGACAAACCTGACAACAAAACCGTGCAATATAATGAGCAAGTAGTACAGCGAGCGTTCAGATGTGTCCCAAAAATAAGCTAGTGTGACCTATCAATGACAATATGTCGTGCATGGTATTGAACAGGACATTAATCGTGTCTTCAAAACTCGTTGACACACTAAACTCACAGATATTAGACAAAGAATACAACCCTATCCGTAAAAAGTATACATAGAATACAACCCTATCCGTAAAAAGTCAAAAGTGGTATGCGCAGCCCGCCGGTCACATTAACGAGCGCAACATGATGTCCGCACAAGAGCGTATACGTGATTCTCAATAATCATGCATACATATATCAAAGAGCTACATCCTAAAGAGAAACTCAAATCAACCGACCCCGGCAACAATCCAAACGAATCGCTCTACCGTGAGGTTAAAGGAGCCAAGTAATTTTATCAAATCTTCGAACTATAAAATTGGATATTATGCATCATGTTTTGCCATACGTATATTTGCTATCCACAATAACACTATAGCGAGGATTTCTCTCGAAGTAAAGTCTCACCGTCGTTGCATACCGCGAAAAAGCAAGCAGTATAAACAATTGACATTTGTAATGTACATTGCAAATCCAGGAAAGTATCATATCACAGTATGCATATTCTTTAAGCGCACCAACGCATGCACTGCTATTCTTGCAATAGAGGACAATCGCCAGACCAAATCGATTCACAGCCACTTATTTAACAGACACTTCGAGTCCACATAAGGAACAATGACACCAAATAACATGGGCACAAGATAGAAAATAAATAAAAACAAAAACAAAATGTGCATGCATACCCTGTTAAATTTCCAGATTTAAGTGTGCGCGTAGCATCAGTTCGTCGATAACTGTGCGAACAATCGCAATAAGCACTCCTATACCATGTCACAGCCGGATGACGCACGCGTATATATATACAACCACACACATATTGAGATATATCAATCCATAGGACACACTAGAATATATACAGCTGGTGTAGAGATTGAAATATTCACAACCCCCGCGATTTATCTACATGCATACTCGACACACACAAATCCACATCCACATATATATATATATGCTTGTGCGTGTATGCGTATAAATATATACATTTTCGAAAAAATATAGGCATTTATATCCATACATGCACATATATATACCACACACAAACACACACACACACACATATATATATATATATATATATATACATATATATATATATATACTATATATATATATATATCATATATGTGTATACTACATANATATATACTACAC